ATAATTTGTAAAGTGTAACAATGTAGAAGTGATATTTGTTTAGAGATTGAATAAATTTACCGTAAAGTATTACTGCCGTACACAAAATGTCACTCAAAATTTGATAAAAACAAGAGAATAAGATCTTACACATATTTATACAATTTCGTTTATCTAACTGAAAAGTAACTTATGTTACGGTAATTTATTTACCGGAAATAGAGTAAAGCATTACTTCCATGAAAATCCAAGTATAAAATCCCATACTTATAAATGAAGTTTCGTCTACCTAACCGAAACAGAATTCAAAGTACTCAAGAAACTAGAACAACGTACCACTACTCAAAAATTTATTGAAAGCTTTAAATTTTGTATATTACTTACCTGGGAAATGTGGTCAACATAACCGAATCGGTACTCCTGTTAAGGAAATAAACACATAAACACTGTGGTTGTTTCCTCTTTGGATATTTCCTCTATCATTCGCTGAAATCAGCACTAGTCTACTATATTTTCCATTGTTTTAAAATATTAATTGAAACATACATAATATCAACTGCATAACATATGTCGAGTACCTAAACAATTTTTTATTTAATTATCTTAGGTTATATCTAAGATTACAAAAAGTGATTTATATGTTTTATGTTATTTATATTAGTCTAACGAATAGTAAAAAGCGTCAGTTGTTTTTTTTTTGGTCTAAAATTAGACGACAACACTGAACTTGTACACATTTTAAGGAAAACGACCCATGTTCACTTCTAATGGCCTTCCGTATTTTCCTGGGAAAAGTATTTGGTTCTTGTTACCCCCGGGGTCGATTTACGACCTCACGAAGTAACAAACGATTTTAACATGGACATTTGATATACAGATTATATGAGGCACCCGTCAGTTGCTTTCAGTTTTCATCCACTCGTCGATTAGCATCTCCCCTTCCCCCTCTCGCAACAGTCTGCCTAATTTTAAGCGTCTGCGTCATATGCTAATGCCATAACCAGCAGATGCCCTGAGCGCTAAAAAAAACGTATTATTATGAAGGCTTTCTAGTGGTTTATTTTCGTACCACTGATACTATTTTACTGTTCAATGAAAGACGCCTACAATAAAACATGTGCAAGGCTATCTATAGTTCCAGAAGTATTGATGGAACCTGCTTGATGAAAGATAAGGAAGAAAACGTTTTATAATACGTTGCTAAAAATACTTTTGTTGTGTTTGTTATATACAATTAGCAACATGTTGCAACACAATATTTCAACGAGGAAGAAAACCTAAACGTTTTAAAACCGTTTTAAAAATTAAAGCAGGATTTTATCTGTGAGCGCTATAGCTGTCTCTTTACGTGTATTGGTAATATTAAGGAGCTTGCGGTATCGCGATATGGACCAGTTTGTCACTGGGTCTAAAACGGGTTGTGTGGTGGTGTTTCGAAGGTTGGTCGCGGCCGCTTAAAAACGGGTTGATGTGGCTGATTCATAATTATAAAGTTTATACAATTTATCTAGTAATTCAATATTTAAGTATTTAAAACGATTAACAGGCTTGCTAGAATTTTGTTTTGTTTTTAATCCGGTCTTTCTTATTGAATATGACAATGCATGCCACTAAAACTATTTGCTTTAAAAACGGATCATTGGCTTTTGATCCTTTAAAGATGATTCATTGCTCCTTCTTAAATATGTAGTGGGGGTGGAAGCAGGCGTTGTAACTGAAATATCAATATAAACAAAAAGTGATATTTCAACGCCAAGGGTAGACAACCGTACAGAATATAGTCCAAGTAAAGACAGAACAGTCAGAACCCAACGGGATACAAACCTACAATTCCTCGCCTACCATGCCTCAAGTCAGACGTGTAACCACTTCTGCCAATCAGCTCTACAAAAATAGAGCTTTCATGGCAGACCACTATCACAATTTGTGCACGGAAGACGCGGGCTGGCTTGACTTCTGAACCCCGAAGGGTCTGACCGCTAGCCTCATAAACACAGCAAGGACTATTATTCGACCACACAGGCGATACAAATATAGGGACGACGATAGACACAAATAGTAGCTTCCTTGAATGGGTATAGTGTAAACATAGTGAGGGGGTGGAAACAGGCGTTGTAACTGAAATAGCAATATATATCACTTTCTGTTTGTATTGCTATTTGCTCCTTCTTAGTTCGGGCTCGGCTCTCAGACTATCCACGGCATTACTCTTGTTATCTCCTTTTTGTAATTAAATGTATAAATCTTGTAATTAAATTTTAATGAAAATTTCAATATTTTTTCCGATTAAATAAATATTCTTGCATTGTCATCAAAGACGAACGTATCTGGAATACTATAACGAATTCGCTGTGTTAGAAGCCGGTGCGAACTGAGTTACAAAACTTGCCACAAACCCAAACGTACATTGTGAAATAAATAGAAACATTTAAAAACTGATTTTATTGAAAGAATAATTTACGTATGGTAATGAGTTGTCTACTTTAGTCATCTTGTTTTTAAGTTGTGTGCAATGTTTGAAATTTGCCAACCGTGTCAAATACTGTGGTTATCTCCTATCTAAGGACTACGGAATAAAAATGACGTACTCAATAACACAAGTATTCTATCCAAGTAATTTTACACATACATGAAAGCAGAGTTTGCCAGGTCTATAATGGTCAATCGAGGGGCGGGGGGGGGGTTGCTTTCATGGTAACGGTAACGGCTGGTTGAAAATCCCACCTGCAGTATTTTCTATTTGGAGCAGCTACAGATGTTATCACTCTCAAGGCGATTGTTTAGTGACGTCACGGTAGGCTGGGTACGCTTGAATGGAATACATCGGGAATTAATTAATCATAAGTTCCATCGGGTTACCACAACAGCCATAGTACATCCCTTGTGAAGAAAAGTGTTAATCAAGATAAATTCCTCTTACACATTTCTTCATTCGGAACTGGTCTATTGCTGCGATTTCAGAAACACGTAATTCAGGAACACTCATCGTGGTAGTATATAATTTACACCGTGTCAATTTTATTGAAATATTATTCATTTAAAAATGGAAATCATTTCAAAGCGTCGTATTAATTTATTTTTTCCAGTGCTTGTGCGTTAGTGATATTTTTATTAATTATTTTCCACTGCCGCTCGAATAAAACTTTTCCAAGACCGAAGGACGCCTCTGGTGTAGCTTTATTGGATCGTTTGTGTTCGACGCCCAAAAGGAGGACGCCATGTACTAAGACACCCGCAGGGGCACTCGGGGTGCTAGCCGATATCCACTGGTGGGGCGCCGCTCTCCAGTATTTATATATTTTATGATTTTATGGTTGAAACTTTCCGTGAAGTGTACTCAAGAACATCTAAGACTTTCATATGACGACCAGACGACAGACAGACATTAATACATACATATATATAGGCCTATATATATATATATATATATATATATATATATATATATATATATATATATATATATATATATATATATATATATATATATATATATATATATATATATATATATATATATATATAATAAATAGAAATTTAGAAATACTCGTTTATCTAGATTTATAGTAAAACAAAAACACCACTGGAGAAAAAAACAGTTTTAAGATGAGTGTGATTTTGTACCTACTGTGCTAGTAGTATTTGGCTCCAGTGTTCAATATATTTCTGTGCGTGTAATGGTTAAGCACAAACGTAAAATATGTTTTAGTAAGATCAGTACATTTTTAATTTAGTAAGCATATGCAATAAAATTATATAGGCACTCCTATATGAGTAGAACTTCAGCTTGTCTCTAATGGTTGACCGTAAGTGGTAGGTGCCAGTCGCATCGTATTGCTAAAAAGTTCATCTTTCTTCTTCTTCGTTCTTAATTTTAGTGTTGGAGGGATCCCCTCCAACGCAATTAAGTATAATTGTCAACTGGTTATGCGCCATTGAGGCCCTTGATTCTGATTTCAGAATGCTTTTCCTTTTGGATTTGCTTGCTTAGCCTTTGTTCAACAAAGAACAAACTCCAAGGCAGCAGTTGTTTGATTTTGGAGTTTTCTCTCCTAGAAGATTGGCTGTCCCCAGCTAAAGAGCCTCGTCTGCCCGAGCGTTCGAACTCGAGTCTTTCGGTTTAGCAACCATGAGCTTTACCGTCTCTACAATGTCTGAAACCCAAAAAGTTAATAAGCATGTTATTATTTTAAATAATTTGAAATTATTTTAAGGAAATTCTGAAATTTCTCTTTTTATTAACTTTTTCTTCAAATAGTTGAACTTTGCTGTAATTAAAACATCTCTATTGAAGATGAGAATGTGCAGACTTTCGTGGATAATACCTACGATTCTGGCACTTTGTAAGAATGGAACAGAATTTTTGTAATTCATGCTAGATTTTCTAAAACTAAATCAAATATTGTTGATGAAATTTCAAAATTTATTAATGAAATTTGTAAAGATATTTAAAAAAATAAAGCCGAAAGATAAATAGCAATATTACGAATACTAGTTCTTTAAATTATAATTTATTTATACATTTTATAACTATTTTAATTTTTTTTAAATTGTAGTTTTATAATATTCAAGTGAATAATTGTATTAATGTATTTATCTCATAGTGGTAGACGAACTAACGTGCATTAAATCTTACAGGGCTGGTCAGTGTCCAGACAATGAACCTCTCGGACTTTACAAGTTTCAGCATAGACAAAAGGATGTACTTGTTGTCCACAACCACCCAGTACTACGACGCCTCAGTAAAGATGTGTGCGGCCATTGACTCGACTGTCGTTATGTTTGACACCAACCTCGAGTTCTCGAATGTCAAGACTTACTAGTTGAATAAATATAAAAGTTTTGACGTGTGGATAGATATATTTAAAAATAGAACAAGATACTTTTGGAAGCTTGAGGAAATTAACCTGACATCATGGGCAAGCGCAGAACCTAACGAGGATTGTCGGTTGATTACAACCACAAAATGTTATGTAAGGATCACGACAGATGGACTTAGAGATAAAAGCAGCGGTTCTTATATGGTTAAAGTCCTCTGCAGGGCCATCTGTAATGTCGGATACATCAGGGGACCTGACGGCGTGACGTGTGTGGATGTGAACGAGTGTCTCCAGTCACCGTGCGGACAAACGTGCACCAACTTAGACGGCTCGTACAGATGTGGGTGTAACCAAGGTTACCAGCTGGCGTCGGACCTGACCAGTTGTGTTGACGTTGATGAATGCGGTCTTGATGTTAAGCCCTGTCAGCAACAGTGCCAGAATCAAGTTGGGTCCTACACCTGTTCTTGTAATGCTGGCTATCGTCTAGCCTACGATCTGGTCAGCTGTTTGGACATAGATGAATGTTTACAAAAACCCTGCAGTCAATTGTGCACCAACACTGTTGGTTCTTACCAATGCAGCTGTATGATAGGCTACACACTTAACAGCGACATGAAATCTTGTACCTGTAGCCAGTGGAACTATTTGTGTCAACAGCCTGTCGTATGCAGGAATGGGTTCCAGCTTGTAGGTAACACATGTGTTGATGTGAACGAATGCGACTTGAAAACAGATAACTGCTCACAGATATGCCAGAACTCTGCAGGTAGCTACACCTGTAGCTGCTATGATGGTTACGTAATGGACAAACTTGGCGACTGTGTTGACGTGAACGAGTGTCTGAGTTCACAATGTCAACAGATCTGTACAAATTTGAACGGTTCCTACAGCTGTGGATGTCGCCAAGGGTTCGTGTTGGCCAGGGATAACAAAACATGTGAGGACATAGACGAGTGTCAAACTACAACACACAACTGCTCACAGTTATGTAACAACACTGTAGGTGGTTACACCTGTAGCTGCCATCAAGGTTATGAGTTACACAACGACAGCAGATTTCTCTGTGTGGATGTCGACGAATGTGGTTTAGGAACTGACAACTGTTCTGATGGTTGTAACAACACGGCCGGTAGCTACGTGTGTACATGTAAGGACGGCTATCACATTGACACACACGATCCTTTCACCTGTGTGGATATGGATGAGTGTCAACAAGACCGACACAATTGTACACAAAATTGTACAAATTCTGTTGGCTCGTACGTCTGTAGTTGTTTCCATGGTTACCGTTTTAACAATAAGAGTAGCTCGTGTTTGGATATCGACGAGTGTAAAGAAAACTCAGACACCTGTGAAAATACCTGTGTCAACACATTAGGTTCTTACACCTGTAGCTGCCCATTAGGTTACCAACTTGACCAAGATGGTAGCTCCTGTGTCAAGACCAGATCACAACCATCTTGTCCCTGCTCCTGTAGGACTCAGACCAGAATCAACATGTCCAGTAATCTAATGGCCGTTCAGAAAGAAATTGACCAGATCAAAAAGAACTTGACCGTTGAGACTCACGACCTGTCGTCCTACATACGGAGCAAGACTTCCGCAACAGACGACAGAACGTCTGCTGATACTATTGGTTCGCTTGGCGCAGCACTCTTTGGTTTCACAATTGTTTTTGTGCTGGTTCCTGATATATTTGCTGTTTTCCAGTTCGTCTTGCCCAAACTTTGGCGCGCCTGGAGAGGAGATTAGTTGCTGTTTTTTTATTCATGTTGTTTTATTTATGGTTTGATGTTTTTGACACTCTTTAACTAACCAAACATTTAAAACTTTGAAACTGTATAGTTACGATTTTTAAAAATACTTTATTGTTTACCCATTGATTGAAACACTTTTCAGGGGGATTAACAATCCATATTTATTTAGATTTTTATTATTTTTTTCTTCTTCTTCTAATTAATTAACCAAACTTTTAAATAAAAAAATATCTATTTACTTCTAACTTCGAGAAGTCTGTATATCATTTTTGTTGGTTCGTCTGTTCTGTTAGATGAGATCATCTGCATTATGTGTAAACTGTAAATTAGCTATTTATGTTAAGAATAATGTTCTTTTTTCCCCAACTGTTAAACACAAATTTATTTAAAGAAGTTAATTAATTTATTGATATATGTATTTGCAGAAACACTACTTTAATTTAAAAGTTCAGAATAATAACTAAATTTAAAATTTAAAAAAAAAATAAAAAAAACATTCACCGGCTTTGTGACGTCACTTGATTTGATTTTTTAAACTTATTTTCAAAACAAATATGTCAGCTTCCGTGGAAGGCAATGTTGCCCATTCTGAAGTTAAACGCACGCATTATAAAGCTAAATGCACATTGCGATTTGTTCTAATTAAAAAATATTAGTTTGACGTTTGCTTTAATAAGTTTTTAAAAACTGTGGTTCGAGTTCAGAAAATATTATAGTAATACATTGATTTTTTAAAGACAAAAACATACAAATTCAGGTTTGATTTCTTGTTAGATGTGAATGATAAAGTTGCCTATTGGGACTTGGAAGATACGGGGCACGTAACTTAGAGTTCAGCAGGTGAAGTAAAGTCCACATGTGACCTCAGCATATGAAGGGATTGAGTGCTTAGACCCACGCTCAGCCGAAATCGGAGTTTTAAAAGACAAAAACATGTTGTCCGAGGTGTTACGTCTTTTTATTATGGGGTCTGGCATTTTGTGACGATGTGTGACTGTAGGGAGGAGAGGGGAAAGATAAAAATCGTCAAACAAGCGTGGGGTATCATATACGGATGACCCGCGTAACCCAGTTATCTAAGGATAACAGGTAGTCTAATTTCTTTTCACTTCTGAAAAAACCTGACACTGCTTTAACAATTGTTGTTTTAAATATTTCATTACGTTTGCCTGAATTTTCTTCTATGCAACATTTGTAAACATTTTTAGATAATAAACTGCACCAATAGTTTTACACAGTGTTGACTTTATATAAGCTTTTATTTACTTCACAGTGTTTGTACATTTGTTTGTTTGAAGATTGTGTCACGTCCTTTTACTCAATTTTAACCAACTTTCAAGATACATTCATGTCTCACGACAATGCAAGAGTATATATCTATAATATAAGCGGGCTGGTAGTGTGTCAGTCCTTTCGTCATCGATGTAGATTTTGGAACCATAAAAGTAAATATCGCACCATGCAGTGCTTTTTAGTTTATCGCAGTGTCTTATTACAAGTGGTAGAGTAGGGTTTGATTATATAACGACATAAAGTTATTTTATAATTGCCAGTGTTTTTACTCTTTTGCATAACGTAAAGAAAATATTAAATACACGCACATTCCTAAAAGATATTAAAAGGATCAATGTCAAATATCATTTTCGTTTATATTCCTTGAAAAAGTGGATACATTTTAATAACATAATAACAGTAGGGTGAAAAATCTAATTAAACTGTTTAGTAATTTTGACAAGGGAAGTAATATAAAAATAAATGTGAATGCAAAATCTCCAATACGGAATAATTTTTGGAATAATATAATTAGCAAAATGTGAATGCAAATTATGCAGACGTGTAAGAGTACATTATTGTTGGAGTATTATAATTAGCATTGATGGATAAAATACTAACTTTTATTTATTTTATTCACTGTACGTACTGTTTACTAATAATATTTTTTAAAGTCATCACGTTCATTTGGTGCGCAATGGTTTTAGTCATGAAACTTTATTGTAAATTTTTAAAAAGTACTGAAAAATACATTGAATTTATAAAGTGCAATATGGTCGGTAAAACACGGATATTCTAAATACTGCCTTTTATTTAGTTTATACACTGAACATACTGGTTACTAATTATTATTCTATCTTTCGATTTGCGGACAAGCTAGGGGTTTTACAGCGTAGCGAGGGGTGGGGGGCATATGTCCCCGGGCGCCGACTTTAGGGGGCGCTAAAATGGGTTGGGGGTGCAAATCGAAAGTTTGAGGGCGGGGGGGGGGGGGGCGGGAGGATGCAAATCAAAAATGTTTGAAGGTGGTGCAAATAAGAAAAAAATTTGAGCGGGGGGAGGGATAGCAAATCAAACGTTTGAGGGCGGGGTGCAAATCGAAAGTTTAAGGGGGGGGGGTGGAAATTGAAAGTTTGAGGGGGGATGCAAATCGAAAGTTTGCCCCCAGGCGCCGAGAAGGGTGGCTTCGCCTCTGTTTTATAGTCATTCACTGAGTCAGACACGTCCGCCGGTGCTCGGAAAGGGCTCGATTTGGCGCTACGGGCTAGACTGTGAGCAATATGCCTTTATGATTGCATTTAAATTGTGTTTATGTTATCAGTGTTGTGTTTGTTTTTTCGTTTGTGTTTTTTTTTTGTTCCTTTGTGTTGTGTTTAGTTTTGTTCTGTTCCCAAGTTGGTACATTTAAAAAAGATTTACCGTGGCGGTGCACGGGTATGTAGCTAGTATCTATATACTACAATCTATATACTACTAAATCTCAAGTTTATTTACATGTTTGTAAATTAAATTTATTTATTTATTTATTTTTGTTTGTCTTTTCGGTTACAGGAGAGAATCTGCACAATGTGTAAAGCTGTAAAATACGTATTTAGGTAGAGAATAATGTTTTTTTTTTACCAAACTGTTAATCACAGATTAATTTAAAGACGTTACACCACTTTAATTATAAAAATTCAGAACAAACACATTGTTTTCTAAAAAACTTAATAACTTTCATCGGCTTAGTGACGTCACTTGATGTTAAGGCCAAACCTAGAATAGTTTTACAAAAATAAAAGGGGGGGGGACCACAAACTAAGAAGGGGTTAATAATTATATCATTTTTAAAATATAAAAATCTTTAGTTGCAGTTTGTGTCGAGTCGTTTTACAAACCAATAATTATATTTGTGCGACGTTTTGTTCTGTGACAGGACAAATGATCTCAGGAAAATTATCTCAGGACAAATGATCTCAGGACAAATGATCTCAGGACAAATGATCTCAGGACAAATGATCTCAGGACAAATGATCTCAGGACAAATGATCTCAGGACAAATGATCTCAGGACAAATGATCTCAGGAAAATTATCTCAGGACAAATGATCTCAGGACAAATGATCTCAGGACAAATGATCTCAGGACAAATGATCTCAGGACAAATGATCTCAGGACAAATGATCTCAGGACAAATGATCTCAGGACAAATGATCTCAGGACAAATGATCTCAGGACAAATGATCTCAGGACAAATGATCTCAGGACAAATGATCTCAGGACAAATGATCTCAGGACAAATGATCTCAGGAAAATTATCTCAGGACAAATGATCTCAGGACAAATGATCTCAGGACAAATGATTTCAGGACAAATGATCTCAGGACAAATGATCTCAGGACAAATGATCTCAGGACAAATGATCTTAGGACAAATTATATCAAGAGAAATTATCTCAAGGACAAATGAACTCATGGAATAAAGACATCAGGACAAAATATATCAGGACAAATGATACCATGGACAAATGATTTGAGACAAAATATCTCAGATAAAATATCTCAAAATAAAATTTTAAGAGTATTTAAAATTATTGTAATCGATTTCAATTTTTTAAATTGATTGCCTTTTGGTTTTTATATACTATTTTTTTCTTACACATAATAATTGTTAGAAATGTTCTGTCGCAATTAGAAATATGTTCGTAGATTAATAATTTGTAAAATGTAACAATGTAGAAGTGATATTTGTTTAGAGATTGAATAAAATTACCGTAAAGTATTACTACCGTACACAGAATGTCACTCAAAATTGGATAAAAACAAGAGAATAAGATCTTATACCTATTTATAAAATTTCGTTTATCTAACTGAATAGGAACTTATGTTACGGTAATTTATTTACCGGAAATAGAGTAAAGCATCACTTCCATATATCGCAGGTAATTACATGAAGTAATCCAAGTATAAAATACCATACTTATATATGAAACTCCGTCTACCTAACTGAAACAGTATTCAAAGTAAGCTACTCAAGAAACTAGAACAACTTACCACTGCTAAAAAATTTATTGAAAGCTTTAAATTTTGTGTAATACTTTCCAGGGAAATTTGGTCAACATAACTGAAACGGTACCTGCTAAGGAAATAAACACTGTGGTTATTACCGGATGTGAGAGGATTTAAGCACTTAGGGTATATCCTCTATCATTAACTAAAATAAGCACTAGTCTGCGATATTAAAAAAAATCAATAGAAAAATACGTTATATCAACTGCATAACATGTGTCGAGTACCTAAACATTTTTAAAATTTAATTATCTATGTGTAAGATTCAAAAGTGATTTATATGTTAACGTGTAGGCCTACTGTTATTATAAGTCTAACGAATAGTAAAAAGCGTCAGTTTTTTTTTTCGTCTCAAATTAGTAGACAACATTGCTCAGAAAATTTAATATTTGAGGAAGTAGCCTCCCTTACAAAAAAACTCGAATAAAGCGTTCTGTGGTCATCTCTAGTCGTAGAGGCTGACCAACAACTATCCCATATGACCGAAGTACACGCAAAATTAAAAAGCAATATAGCCAGATGTACACACCCAAAGTGTCCTAAAAATTGTTTGCTAATTCACCACGAGTTTCAGAATAATGTACACTGTTTTATTTAAGGAAAACGGCCCATGTTCACTTCCAGACTTTTTTTCTCCGGGGGGGGGGGGGGGCTCTTGGAATTTTCGGGGGGGGGGGGTGACTTTCTTCGGTGGGGGGGGGGGGTCGGGCACTGTTAAAAGTATATATTTTCTATATAGATTATATAAATTTCATTCCGTTCGGGGGGGGGGGGGGGCGGTAAAAAAATTTCGGGCGGGGGGGGGGGGAGGGGGGGGCTGGAAGAGATGCCTGGAAGAAACTCTGGTTACCACCGGGGGTCGATTTACGACCTCACGAAGTAACAAATGATTTTAACATGGACATTTGATAATGGCACTGGTCAGTTGCTTTCAGTTTTCATTCACTTGTCGATTTGCATCTCCCCTTCCCCCTCTCGCAACAGTCTGCCTAATTTTAAGCGTCTGCGTCATATGCTAGTGCAATAACCAGCAGATGTCCTGAGCGCTAAAAAAACGTATTATTATGAAGGCTTTCTAGTGGTTTATTTTCGTACCACTGATACTATTTTACTGTTCAATGAAAGACGCCTACAATAAAACATGTGCAAGGCTATCTATAGTTCCAGAAGTATTGATGGAACCTGCTTGATGAAAGATAAGGAAGAAAACGTTTTATAATACGTTGCTAAAAATACTTTTGTTGTGTTTGTTATATACAATTAGCAACATGTTGCAACACAATATTTCAACGAGGAAGAAAACCTAAACGTTTTAAAACCGTTTTAAAAATTAAAGCAGGATTTTATCTGTGAACGCTATAGCTGTCTCTTTACGTGTATTGGTAATATTAAGGAGCTTGCGGTATCGCCATATGGACCAGTTATTCGACGAGTACCAGTTGTCGCTGGGTCTAAAACGGGTTGTGTGGTGGTGTTTCGAAGGTTGGTCGCGGCCGCTTAAAAACGGGTTGATGTGGCTGATTCATAATTATAAAGTTTATACAATTTATCTAGTAATTCAATATTTAAGTATTTAAAACGATTAACAGGCTTGCTAGAATTTTGTTTTGTTTTTAATCCGGCCTTTCTTATTGAATATGACAATGCATGCCACTAAAACTATTTGCTTTAAAAACGGATCATTGGCTTTTGATCCTTTAAAGACGATTCATTGCTCCTTCTTAAACATGTAGAGGGGGTGGAAGCAGGCGTTGTAACTGAAATATCAATATAAACAAAAAGTGATATTTCAACGCCAAGGGTAGACAACCGTACAGAATATAGTCCAAGTAAAGACAGAACAGTCAGAACCCAACGGGATCCAAACCTACAATTCCTCGCCTGCCATGCCTGCCATGCCTCAAGTCAGACGTGTAACCACTTCTGCCAATCAGCTGTACAAAATAGAGCTTTCATAGCAGACCACTATCACAATTTGTGCACGGAAGACGCGGGCTGGCTTGACCTCAGAACCCCGAAGGGTCTGACCGCTAGCCTCGTAAACACAGCAAGGACTATTATTCGACCACACAGGCGATACAAATATAGGGACGACGATACACACAAATAGTAGCTTCCTTAAATGGGTATAGTGTAAACATGTAGAGGGGGTGGAACCAGGCGTTGTAACTGAAATAGCAATATATATCACTTTCTGTTTATATTTCTATTTGCTCCATCTTAGTTCGGGCTCGGCTCTCAGACTATCAACGGCATTACTCTTGTTATCTCCTTTTTTAATTAAATGTATAAATCTTGTAATTAAATTTTAATGACAAGTTCAATATTTTTTTTCCCGATTAAATAAATGTTCTTGCATTGTCATCAAAGACGAACGTATCTGGAATACTATAACGAATTCGCTGTGTTAGAAGCCGGTGCGAACTGAGTTACAAAACTTGCCACAAACCCAAACGTACATTGTGAAATAAATAGAAAAATTTAATAACTGATTTTATTGAAAGAATAGTTTACGTATGGTAATGAGTTGTCTATTTTGGTCTTCTTGTTTTTAAGTTGTGCGCAATGTTTGAAATCTGCCAACCGTGTCAAATACTGTGGTTATCTCCTATCTAAGGACTACGGAATAAAAATGACGTACTCAATAACACAAGTATTCTATCCAAGTAATTTTACACATACATGAAAGCAGAGTTTGCCAGGTCTATAATGGTCAATCGAGGGGCGGGGGTTGCTATCATGGTAACGGTAACGGCTGGTTGAAAATCCCACCTACAGTATTTTCTATTTGGAGCAGCTACAGATGTTATCACTCTCAAGGCGATTGTTTAGTGACGTCACGGTAGGCTGGGTACGCTTGAATGGAATACATCGGGAATTAATTAATCATAAGTTCCATCGGGTTACCACAACAGCCATAGTACATCCCTTGTGAAGAAAAGTGTTAATCAAGATAAATTCCTCTTACACATTTCTTCATTCGGAACTGGTCTATTGCTGCGATTTCAGAAACACGTAATTCAGGAACACTCATCGTGGTAGTATTTAATTTACACCGTGTCAATTTTATTGAAATATTATTCATTTAAAAATGGAAATCATTTCAAAGTGTCGTATTAATTTATTTTTTCCAGTGCTTGTGCGTTAGTGATATTTTTATTAATTATTTTCCACTGCCGCTCCAATAAAACTTTTCCAAGACCGAAGGTCGCCTCTGGTGTAGCTTTATTGGATCGTTTGTGCTCGTTTGTGCTCGACGCCCAAAAGGAGGACGCCATGTACTAAGACACCCGCAGGGGCACTCGGGGTGCTAGCCGATATCCACTGGTGGGGCGCCGCTCTCCAGTATTGATATATTTTATGATTTTATGGTTGAAACTTTCCGTGAAGTGTACTCAAGAACATCTAAGACTTTCATATGACGACCAGATGACAGACAGACATTAATACATACATATATATAGGCCTATATATATATATATATATATATATATATATATATATATATATATATATATATATATATATATATATATATATATATATATATATATATATATATATATATATAATAAATAGAAATTTAGAAATACTCGTTTATCTAGATTTATAGTAAAACAAAAACACCACTGGAGAAAAAAAACAGTTTTAAGATGAGTGTGATTTTGTAAATACTGTGCTAGTAGTATTTGGCTCCAGTGTTCAATATATTTCTGTGCGTGTAATGGTAAAGCACAAACGTAAAATATATGTTTTAGTAAGATCAGTGCATTTTTAATTTAGTAAGCATATGCAATAAAATGATATAGACACTCCTATATGAGTAGAACTTCAGCTTGTCTCTAATAGTTGACTGTAAGTGGTAGGTGTCAGTCGTATCGTATTGTTAAAAAGTTCATCTTTCTTATTCTTCGTTCTTTATTTTAGTGTTGGAGGGGATCCCCTCTAACGCAATTAAGTATACGTGTCAACTGGTTATGCGCCATTGAGGCAATTGACTCTGATTTCAAAATGCTTTTCTTTTTTAATTTGCTTCCATAGCCTTTGTTCAACAAAGAACTAACTACAAGGCAGCATTTGTTTGATTTTGGAGTTGTCTCTCACAGAAGAGTGGCTAAAGAGCCTCGTCTGCCCGAGGGTTCGAACTCGAGACTTTCGGTTTAGCAACCATGAGCTTTACCGACTCGACAACGTCTGAACACCAGAAAGTTAATAAGCATGCTATTATTTAAAATAATTTTAAATTATTTTAAGAAAATTCTGAAATTTCTCTTTTAATTAATTTTTTCTTCCAATAGTTGACCTTTGCTGTAATTGAAACTTCTCTGTCGAAGATGAGAATGTGCAGGCTTTCGTGGATAATACCTACGATTCTGGCACTTTGTAAGAATGGCACAGAATTTTTGTAATCCATGCTAGATTTTCCAAAACTAAATCAAATATTGTTGATGAAATTTAAAAATTTATCAATGAAATGTGTAAAGATATTTAAAATTAAAGTTGAAAGATAAATAGCAATATTACGAATACTAGTTCTTTAAATTATAATTTATTTATACATTTTATAACTATTTTAATTTTTTTTTAATTGTAGTTTTATAATAATCAAGTGAATACTTATTATTGATTATTGTATTTATCTTATAGTGGAAACGATTTAACGTGTATAAAATCTTACAGGGCTAGTCAGTGTCCAGACAACCAACCTCTCAGACTTTACAAGTTTCAGCATAGACAAAAGAATGTACTTGTTGTCCACAACCACCCAGTACTACGAAGCTTCAGTAAAGATGTGTGCGGCCATCGACTCGACTGTCGTTATGTTTGACACCAACCTCGAGTTCTCGAATGTCAAGACTTACTTGTTAAGTAAATATAAAAGTTTTGACGTGTGGGTGGACATATTCAAAAATAGAACAGGATACTTTTGGAAGCTAGGGGAGGTTGACCAGACAACATGGGCAAACGCAGAACCTAACGATGGTTGCCAGTTGAGTGCAACCACAAAATGTTACGTAAGGAGCACGACAGATGGACTTAAAGATAAAAGCAGCGGTTCTTTTATGTTTAAAGTCCTCTGTAAAGCCTTCTGTAATGTCGGATACATTCGGGGACCTGACGGCGTGTCGTGTGTGGATGTGAACGAGTGTCTCCAGTCACCGTGCGGACAAACCTGCACCAACATAGACGGCTCGTACAGATGTGGGTGTAACCAAGGTTACCAGCTGGCGTCGGACCTGACAAGTTGTAATGACGTTGATGAATGCGGTCTTGATGTTAAACCCTGTCAGCAACAGTGCCAGAACCAAGTTGGGTCCTACACCTGTTCTTGTAATGCTGGCTATCGTCTAGCCTACGACCTGGTCAGCTGTTTGGACATAGATGAATGTATACAAAAACCCTGCAGTCAATTTTGCACCAACACTGTTGGCTCTTACAAGTGCAGCTGTGGGTTTGGCTATACGCTTAACAGCGACATGAAATCATGCAGTTGTAGCAAAACTCCTTTGAATTTGTTGTGTCAACAGCCTTTTGTATGCAGGAATGGGTTCCAGATTGTAGATAACACATGTGTTGATGTGAACGAATGCGACTTGAAAACAGATAACTGCTCACAGATATGCCAGAACTCTGCAGGTAGCTACACATGCAGCTGCTATGATGGTTACGTAATGGACAAACTTGGCGATTGTGTTGACGTGAACGAGTGTCTGAGTTCATCATGTCAACAGATCTGTACAAATTTGAACGGTTCCTACAGCTGTGGATGTCGCCAAGGGTTCGTGTTGGCCAGGGATAACAAAACATGTGAAGACATAGACGAGTGTCAAACTACAACACACAACTGCTCCCAGTTATGTAACAACACTGTAGGTGGTTACACCTGTAGCTGCCATCAAGGTTATGAGTTACACAACGACAGCAGATTTCTCTGTGTGGATGTCGACGAATGTGGTTTAGGAACTGACAACTGTTCTGAAGGTTGTAACAACACGGCAGGTAGCTACGTGTGTACATGTAAGGACGGCTATCACATTGACACACACGATCCTTTCACCTGTGTGGATATGGATGAGTGTCAACAAGGCCGACACAATTGTACACAAAACTGTACAAATTCTATTGGCTCGTACGTCTGTAGTTGTTTCCATGGTTACCGTTTAGACAACAAAGACAACGTCACTTGCTTGGATATCAACGAGTGTAAAGAAAACGTACACACCTGTGAAAATACCTGTGTGAATACATTAGGTTCTTACACCTGTACCTGCCCATTAGGTTACCAACTTGACCAAGATGGTAGCTCCTGTGTCAAGACCAGATCACAACCATCTTGTCCCTGCTCCTGTAGGACTCAGACCAGAATCAACATGTCCAGTACTCTAATGGCCGTTCAGAAAGAAATTGACCAGATCAAAAAGAACTTGACCGTTGAGACTCACGACCTGTCGTCCTACATACGGAGCAAGACTTCCGCTACAGACGACAGAACGTCTGCTGATACTATTGGTTCGCTTGGCGCAGCACTCTTCGGTTTCACCGTTGGTTTTGTGCTGGTTCCTGATATAGCTGCTGTTTTCCAGTTCGTCTTGCGCAAACTTCGGCGCGCCTTTCGAGAAGATTAAATAAAGCGTTGTATTCATGTTTCTCTTATTTACAGTTCATTGTTTCTAAGACATTATATTAAAACCACCATTTCATTAAATATCGCTTTTATTTACAGTTCGTATTTTAAAGACACTATAGTATTTTGTTTTGGCAATTGTTAAATTTGTATTGTTCATTTTAAGACATGTATTTCCTTCGATAAAAGTACAAAGTACAAGCAAATTGACACAACTTTTGCAATTGTTTAATATTTTTATACTTGTATATGTATTAATAAACTTCATCAATAACTGTAACAATACTGCTTTTATTGATTAGTTTTTGTTTATCAACTTTACATTATCAACACCTACGTCTCAATAGCAGCTTGTAAGTTTTAATCTTAAGGGTGGTTCGCTGTAACCTTCATCTAGATTTGGTATTCAGTGGGTCTTTCCTTTGTCGACCAGACAAGGCAGTGGCGTAGGCAGGGGGGGTTAGGGGGGGTCATAACCCCCCCCCCCATAGACCCCTCGGTATATATATAAAAAGTATGAGGGGGGGTGCAAATCGAAAGTTTGAGGGGCGGGGTGCAAATCAAAAGTTTGAGGGGGGGGGGTGCAAATCGAAAGTTTGAGGGGCGGGGTGCAAATCGAAAGTTTGAGGGGGGGTGCAAATCGAAAGTTTGAGGGGGGTGCAAATCGAAAGTTTGAGGGGGGGGGGGATGCAAATCGAAAGTTTGAGGGGGGGGTGCAAATCGAAAGTTTGTCCCCGGGTAAAAATTGGAACCCCCCCCCCCCCCCTTGAGACGATCCTGGCTACGCCACTGAGACAAAGTATTTATTGTTGGTTGTTAAAATTCATGATACCACTGACATACAATAATTTTATGACAGTTCTCAAGCTTACGTTTGTATACATATGTAGGCTATATACACACATTCATATTATATTATTAGGAAAAATAAAAACAAAAAAAGCTGTATTCATAAAAATGTTATGCTATATTTATATATAAAGAAAAAAACAATTCCAACATAGATTTTGGAAAAAAATGCCTGATTAGATATAAGCTATTTTCAGCTACACAGATCTAACTATAAAAATACTACGGTGGGAAAAATGAATCGGTAGTGATCTCCTTTATACCTTCTGGTATATTATTATACATCACATATAGTAATGAGGGTCATACTTCATAACAATCGGGCTAAGAAATGTCTTTATTGTTTTGTAATAGTTACATTTAAAAAATAGAATGGAGTATCGCCGAAAAAAAGAATTAAACTAATTTGCTTTTTTTGACTTAAGCTAAAATATGTAACAGATCTCTTGAGCAACCAATTTTATGAAAGAAAGCAAATTAGTTTTATTTCTTTATTGTCAGTGTATTTAAGAGCTTGCTTTTAGAAAGGTTCGTTTTTTAAATCTTTGTTTTATTTAGTTTTAACCCCAAAAGCCGAAAGATTTTTAAAACATCTGGCAAAGCAATGACACCGGATATGACGATAAAAACGGCCACACCCAGGTACCCTGTAACCTGAGACGAGACTCGAGAATCTTCTGCGCATGTCTTCTTCCTTTTGAAGCTGGAGAGGTCACGTGCACCAATGGAAAGTTCCCTCTTTATCATGTGGGCATCTTTCTCCGCTTGCTGGTATGTTGGTGATCGTTTGCTGGAGCACTTGCATGGGCAGACGTGGCTGGAATTTCGTTGGACACATGAGTGACCGTCAGGGCCGGTCTGGAACCCGTCTGGGCATGCGCAGAAGTAAGATCCGGGCGTGTTGTGACAGCGGTGTTGACAGAGAGTTGTGTTGTCACATTCGTTGATGTCGTGGCAAGTTTTGTTGTCGGTGGTGTTGAGGTGGTAGCCGGTACGACACGTGCAGTAGTAGGAGCCGTTGGTGTTGGTGCAGTTGTGGTCACATTCGTGGTGGTCATCTAGACATTCGTTGATGTCGTGGCAAGTTTTGTTGTCGGTGGTGTTGAGGTGGTAGCCGGTACGACACGTGCAGTAGTAGGAGCCGTTGGTGTTGGTGCAGTTGTGGTCACATTCGTGGTGGTCATCTAGACATTCGTTGATGTCGTGGCAAGTTTTGTTGTCGGTGGTGTTGAGGTGGTAACCGGTACGACACGTGCAGTAGTAGGAGCCGTTGGTGTTGGTGCAGTCGTGGTCGCACCAAGATGATAGTTCTAAACATTCATCGACATCCTCATCAACTGTCTGATTCGTCGTCTCATCTCGGTCACAGTGACAGCTGAAGCTCGTGTTTTTCTTGATACACTCACACTTAGATCTACTACACCTCGTGTCAGAGTTAGCATGGATACATCTGTAACCACCTAAAAAATGTTCATGCACTTTCGAGATTAGAGAGAACTTGCACAGATACACGGACCTTACATAGCACTCATCGTTATTTATAAGATTAAGTGAGCCCAGAATTTGTTGCACCAAGTCGCAGCATTTATCATTTCCATTACCAATACCAGGATTGCATGATGTGCTTGTGAAATAATAAGCATAGCATTGGGAGCTCGGATTACTTTGAACTGAATTATCTAATAATAATCATTAAAAAAGTTTTAAAAAACCCACGTTTTCTGATTGAACTAAAAAGTAGAAAATAAATGCTATAGGCCCTACATCACAATAATGCAAGCGATCACTCTACTATAAGCGATGAAAAACGTGGGGCGCCGAAGTAAAAGTTATATTACTATTGATTAGATAATACTATTGACTTTTATTAGGGAGCTTGTAGAGAGTCAACAGTATTAGAAACTGTAAGAAAATCACGGCGCCCCACGTTTTTGCTCGCTTATAGTAGAGTGATCGCTTGCATTATTGTGATGTAGGGCCTATAGCATTTATTTTCTACTTTTTAGTTCAATCAGAAAACGTGGGTTTTTTAAAACTTTTTTAATGATTATTATTTTCTACTTTTTAGTCTTTGTCTGTTTGTTTGCATTAAAATCTTGCTATCGATTTTATCTTTTCACTTTTTTTGGGTAAACGAAGACAACTCGTAAAAAGACAACTCGTAAAAAGACAACTCGTAAAAAGACAACTCGTAAAAAGACAACTCGTAAAAAACACGTTGTTTGAATACGTTACTGACTAGTACACATAGATTTGAACCCGTGTCGAGTGGGATAGCAATCGTGTGCCCAACCACTCGACCATATCGTCTCCCCCAAACTGTCCTACCTCCTGTAAGTTTAAACTCGGTTCAAGCTAAATTCTCTGCCCCTAAGCCTGTGGCGACATGTGATCGTTCGCTTCACTGCGCGCGAGGTACGCGTCGCTGGTTTTTTTTCTAATGGCTAGCAGAGGAGAATTATATATATAGATTATATAGCGGTCTAAAATGCTCAATAAAATGTTTCCATTGATCAATTTAGTAATAATAACAATTGAATATTCAATGGTCATCCAAAAGAAAGCTTCCCTGAAAATTTCAGCGCGCTAGCTAACTGGGAAGTGCCAGAAATTTCGATCGCAAGATTGGATTGGAAAGACAAACAAATAAATAAATAAATAAACACACAGAGAAAGCAAGTTAAAGAAAACGTGGGAAAAATATTTCGTAATTCCAACTGAATGTGTGGTTTGTTGCGTCTATGTCTATCAACGCCCTCATTCCCGCGACATCCGTCGAAGAACAATTGAAGATTGGTTCTGTAAATCCTTTTATGGTGTCAGACGGTATCAGAGAACCTTTTAGTTTCTTGCAAGTCTGATTTGCTATTGTAGTGCTCGGATGTTCCATCACTAGGCCAAATGTGTGGTTTTTTATGGTCAAGGTGTAGACGCTTGTGACTTTGTTATCTGACTGATCAGCATCTTGATGGAAAACGAACAGATGAAGACGGAAGTGTTAAAATTAAAACTCATGGAGTTCGCTGTTCAGCTGATGGAAATAGGAATAGTGGTTGAGGGGAAGAGAAGGGGGGGGGGGGGGGGAGGAAGTCCAGTGTGGAATGCCAAGAAGGTATGGTAAACATAGCTATTAGGGTCGTATTCAACACTCTACTATAAAATAACAAAAAGTATTGTGTAAACTATGAAATACTTCGATCTTTAAGTACGAGTAGGTGGGCTCTTTTAATGTTTGATTTTAGGTGTCTGCTTTATAATTTCGGCCTTATAGTCTGCAGGCCTTATGCTAAGTCGGCCTTTGTCCATGTTTACCTTTCGTCCTGTTTGCCTTTTAGATATCGACTTTTGTCCTACATCCTGCTAAACCGAAAAGTCTCGAGTTCGAACCCTCGGGCAGATGAGGCTCGTTAGCTGTGGACAGCCACTCTTCTAGGAGAGACAACTCCAAAATTAAACAACTGCTGCCTTGTAGTTTGTTCTTGGTTGGACAAAGGCTATGGAAGCAAAATCCAAAAAGAAAAGCAGGCTGAAATCGGAGTCAATGGCCTCAATGGCGCATAACCAGTTGACACGTAACGCTTAATTGTGTTGGAGGCGTGGTCGAGTCGGCAAAAAGCTCATGGTTGATAAATTCGAACAACGTCTCGAATTCATACCCACTGGCAGATAAATCTCGATCCCCTTCAACACTAATAATTAAGAACGAAGAAGAAGAAGAAAAGAAGTCCTACATCCGGGTTATGGAAAGCATAGTTTCTTAAAGGCATCTCTTTGGGGTAATGCCCTCCCCCCTCCCGAACGAAATGGAATTTTTTAAAGAAAATATAACTTTTACTTTTTGTCCTCTCTCCCTCCCCACTACTCAGAAATGTCGCCCACCGAAATTTTCTAACTTTAACTCTTTGATTTATACAATAATTTAGCTCAACAAATATACATAAACGCCAATGTTTCATTCATTAGATAGTGAACTATATTACTGACATTAGTATATCACTTTCATAATAGCATATGCAAACTTAATACAGTAAATGTTTAGATAATAGAACATGTTGGCCATATAGTATAATTAAATATAGAAATATTTATTACAAAACTTACCCGAGAGCCTAGCAAAAATGATCACAGCCATTAGCTGCGGAAACACAGTCAAAGCCATTTTGAGAAACTGCTTTTGGCGAAGGAAAGAACCGTAAAAGCAATTAATTTTTCTTAAATGGCGGAGCAATTAATATTTGTCCAGAACTGTCAACATGGGCTATTGCCAACCAGGCAATGAATGACAGCCCGAGACCAGGTATGCGATACCACGGTAGGCTATTGAACACACACACACACACACACACACACACACACACACACACACACACACAACACTTTGTGGGTTTAAAACTAATTATTTCTGAACTGTAATGCATTGTTCAACATCATAACTGAAATTGTGTATTTTATTGAAGTACTATATCATCTATACAATTCTTCATCTTTTTTTTTAAGTCTAATTAAATTTAATTAAATTTGGCTCAAGTTAAACTGCAGGAGACGTGTATGGGTGGGTGCTTGAACAAATTGAAGTTTTAGTTTTCATTTTTTTTTCTGTTTCCAATTATACATATCGTCAAGCGGGAGGTTGGTGAAGTAGAGTTTATTGACTGAGAACAGGAAATGCAACACTGAGACTTAAGTTAACTGTAGCTAACCTTATGTTGTCGTCAACACTAGTTGCATGTAATATAAGTTATATAACATGTAACAATATATACTAAGACAAACATGGTCTATATACATATATATATATATATATATATATATATATATATATATATATATATATATATATATATATATATATATATATATATTGTGCTCGAATTTTATTACTCCATTGTATTTTGCACTCTTTCTAAAGATTTTTTTTATCTCCCAAGCGGAACCAATAAATTGTTTCTCTATTTGTTGAAGGACGCCGGACAATTCACCCACTAGAGATCGATGTGTTTGTCTGGTGCTGCATACCTACCGTAGCTGGACGGAAACGGTAAACTGTTCGCATAAAACATTGTGAGCCCTTCGGTTATAGAGCTAGGTTCTAATTTGGGAGAGTGTTATACGCAGTATAAACACATCGCAAATATTGTTTAGAGAATCTTTTTTAATATATATATATATGTATATATATATATATATATATATATATATATATATATATATATATATATATATATATATATATATATATATATATATATATATATATATATATATATATATATATATATATATATATATATATATATATATATATATATATATATATATAATGTATCATTTTAAAAGTATATTTTCTTATAGTTTTCAACTCAATAGAAAAAAAAAATTAAGGATGTTTAAAAAAATCAATTTCTCGTACGGTTGAAAAGGCGCATGCAATTAAATTAAGACTATATCTGTTCCATTACAAACTGTAAACAATGATGAGAGAGAATGAATCCTTTAAATTATGTGTGTGTGTGTGTGTGCGTGCGTTTGTTTCTGTATATGTGTGTGTGTTTGGTGTGTGTATGTGTGTGTAGGCCTACAAATGTCCGTAATCCTAATTTATAAAAGGCCATGTGCGCTCTTCTCTCTCTCTCTCTCTCTCTGTCTGTCCGCAAAATATTTTCGCCGGACATCACGTCAGAAACGGCAGCGATATATGCAGAACTTTATACGGACTTTTGTTGAAAATAATATGTTAGATGTTTTAAATGTATAACCACAATTTTAGTTAAAGAAGAAAAATAAAAATTAAAGGCGTATTCGAATGTAGAGAAACAGTATTATTTATGCAACCGGAAAAGCATTAATATATGTGAAAAAGAACGCATAAAACTGTGACGTCACTATTGCTTATACATTAACTAATGACGTCATCTGCCGTGTTTAGAATGAAAAGAAATGAACTATTTCATTCAAATTTGATTTAGATCTACGTACACTATGAAATGTATACAATACAATTTTTCCGGCCTAAACTCATAAAATTTATTTTATGTATTTGGATTCTAGATCTAGACTAAATCTAAATCTAAATCTAGGCAATAACTAGATCTAGACGTAAACGCTAAGATCTAGATTTAGACTCTAACTTCTCTAAAATCAATTCCAAAAATAAATTTCTATATTAGGACTAAACTATTTCAAGACTTATTTATTTTATACAAAATCTTTGTTTGGAACTGGGATTATTATGCTCGGGCTAAACTTAAAAAAAAAAATTCTATTAGGAATCTAGATCTAGATCTAGATTGTCGGGTGTCCGATAGGGCACTTCCCGGCGCCGCAGGCGCTTCAAATTTGGCATGATCTTGCCTTGGTGCGACAGAACACGGGGGCCGGTTGGCCGAAAAGTCTACGATGTGGGGGTCAAAACTGACCTCGACTGACCGGTACCTTATATGAGCTATAAATCGAAAAAAAATGTCCACGGAGGAACCTCTTCATAACTCTTGAGGTCGTAGACCGACCTTCGGGCGAATCAATTAAGCATTCAAATTCTCAATGTTTTCGAAAGCCTAAGCGAAGCTGGGCAGCATGCCTAGTTTAAATATATGCCACATACACGCTTTTGGTGGCGTCACAAATAGATGACCCTATAGTTACTATAGTATGTGCTAAATATTTTGCCAATTATACCAACAGATTGCTAATCAAAGAAAGAGTAAACCTAACATTGATTGGGTGGTTAGTTTTTATCTTAAGAGCTATATTTTCAAAATGAACAAGCTGGGGCTATTTGAAAAGCTTTACACAAACTAATAATATTTGTACTTTAATTATACTCTAAAAGAATTTCCTAATTTTTATCTCCCTTACGTCATTTAACGCAATTATGGTATCTAAACAATTATTTGGAAACGTCAGAAACAAATTCGATCTTATAATCAACATTAATTTAAAACCAGTAGTATTCGTCAACTGCTTGTATAACTATTTACCTAGTACGATATATATATATATATATATATATATATATATATATATATATATATATATATATATATATATATATATATATATATATGTATATATATATATATATATGTATATATATATATTTATATTTATATATATATACATTGGGGGGGCGACATTGGATGAAATTTATATTTTCTATATAAATTATACAATATTCTATTCCGTTCTGGCACTGTCCCCCACCTCTGTAGCAGATCTACCTCCCCCCCCCCCCACCTCTCGCGGAACGAAATTTAATCTGTCTATATATATAATTCTCTTCTGGGAGCCTTTAGAAAACAAGCTGCAAGCGCCCCTTACAATCCCCTCTCTTCCTCTCTATCGCTACCCCCCCCACGCCCCCCACCCCCCCCCCCCCCCAACCCTCTCACATGGTCAGGTGAGTTGTAGTTCACGCTGTTTACATTTTACAATCATAGAGACGGGTTTGGTGACAGCTATTAGGGGCAGATAATTTAGTTTGAATCGATTTTAAACTTAGAGGAGGTAACTAAGAGGAGGCTGCTTTCACGTGGGGGGGGGGGGGGGGGGAGGGGGGTTTTTAAGCAAATATTTTCAGTGGCAGCATTGGTACTGTCGAATTCACAAATTATAAATTACTGAAAAGTAGAAAAAAAAACAACTAAATAGCGGCGTATGATACGCAGCGGGTCGGCTCGTATATATATAATTCTCTTCTGGGAGACGCTAGAAAACAAGCTGTAAACGCGCTCCCTACCATCCCCACCCCTACATGGTCTTAGTGAGCTGTGGTTCACGCTATGTTTACCTTCGTGGAGTCGGGTTTAGTGACGGCTATTAGGTGCAGATAATTTAGTTTAAAACGATTTTAACTGTGAGGGGGGGGGGGGGGAGGAAGGGGGTGTTATGGTCCTTAACAAGCTACTTATAGTGTTTTAAAGAAATATTTTCAGTGTCAGCGTTGGTACTGTCGAATTCACAAATTATGAATTACTGAAAAGTAGAAAAAACAACAACTAAATAGCGGCGTATGTTATGCCGCGGGCCGGCTCGTTGTATATAATTGTATATGGAAAATATATGCTTTATATGTTTTTACCTGTGTGTTGTCCGTACCCCCCCCCCCCCCCCCCCGAAAATTTTAAGTGCCCCGCCCCCCACCCTTCTGAGAAAAAAAAACTGAAAGAAATACTGGACAAAGGGCCGTAACAAAGTAAATATTTTTTCCAGAAACCCGAATATTTAAAATATTGTGTAAAAATAAACTCTGCTGATAACAGAGTTTCTTCCAGGCATCTCTTCCCCCCCCCCCCCCCCGAACGAAATGAAATTTATATAATTTATATAGAAAATATATACTTTTAACAGTGTCCGCCCCCCCGAAGAAAGTTTACCGCCCCCCCCCCCCCCCCCCGAAAATTTCAAGTGCCCCCCCGGAGAAAAAAGTCTGGAAGAAACACTGGCTGATAACCCTGTCTATCTGTATACCAGTTTGGACAGTAGGCCTAACGCATTTTATTTTTATATCTTGATCAATAATCTAATTCATATTTCATCAATCTATAGTATCGCAGCTACTGAATTCCTTAAAAATGTGTGTAATCACCGTGTTAAATCAAGGTGAGAGATTCATTAAATAGCTACAAACAAGCACGTTTTTACTATAAAAAAATCAACAGTTGTCTACTAAATAGTTGTGTGATATTAAGTCGAAACTTTAATGCGACGTCTCTTCTCACTTCCGTAAACATACAACTGGACAAAAAAAAAACGGTGAACTTTTACTTTGTGTTGAGTGAGTTTTGTTACTGTTGACTTTGTTATATCATTTTAAGGAAATATATTTTTTGTAACTGTTAAAAACTATCATTTAAATTGCGTGTTTAAACTCGGTGTATGAGTATGAACGTTGATATGGAAATAATACAAAGATTTGACAACTGTTAGATCTTTCTCTGGGTGGAGGTTTTGGGCTCCTCTAGCAGTGGAATGAATGGCGCTACGTCTCTCGAGTAAACTTCCGCCCTCGGACACTGGTCGGTTTGTGATGTGCAAGTTTTAAAAATCAACTCGTGGAGACATTTGATACAATTATTTTAGAGGTCTAGTAGTTACAATCAACAATGTCTTAATTCCTGGATTTAATTCTGCTTTAAAAGTTTAGCATTTGGTTTTTAAAAAATTCCTAGATCTAGGGCCTAGGCCTACACTAACTGTAACTACACTTACTACAGTTAACTACAGTTAACATTAAGACTAGAGAAATAAAGGCCCTAAATATTTTATTATTTAGGCTACACAGACACAGTACACACACTACACACTAATCTAAATTTAACTGAAGTTAATATATAATGAAGTAGATCAACACACTCTCAGTTATTTTTTAACACTGAGTGGTATTTCCAACGACAATGGACTCTTCCAAAAATAGGTGTTAGATCTAGATTAATCTAGATCTAGTTGTTAGTATTCCCACTTATTGTTAAGTGTCATTATGGTCAGAAATTATAATATTTAGGTCTACTTGTCTAGTATTTGTACTATGATTATTATTAGGACTTTGGTAAGGGACGCTGGCGACGGGGTTCGCAGTTACGTTAACTTAATTATTTACAGCAAGTCTACCTGGAATATAAAAAACTCCTTTTTATGAAGATTTCATTACTGTATCCTCATCAGATACAATAATTAATTAGACCTATAGCTGTATTAGTATAAATAACACTTGTGTCTGCATTAATTGGCCTACTCTTTAGAGACTATATAGAATAGGTTAGGTTAGGTTTCCCTGTCGTCCCTCCTGGGACATAGGCCGCTGACAAGAGCAGTCCTGATGTGTCTGTCCTTGGCTAGTCTCTCCAACTGTCCCCAGGTGTATCCATTCTTCTTGGTGTCTTCTTCCAGGTCACATCTCCTGGTCTTTTTTTTTTACTTTCTTGGTCTGCTTAAATTAGTTCACATTTTTAGAGGATTGGGCCATGGATAAAAATAAGACCCAAATGATATTTACTATTAGGCCCCTAATTAGAGTTAATAATCTCTGAATTTAATATACATCCTTTAGTCAGTCATTAGCATAATTTGTATGTAGGTGTAGGTAGGTTGTCATTAAACCTGCTTATTTATCAGCATTGATAAATATATCTGTCAAATAGAGAAACAAGGTAATTAAAAAGTCTAGTGACAATTTTAGCGCAATTTCCTTATGTTATCTAAACATAGCTCTGTCGTAGCGTAAATCAAGAGCAGGGTTAGTAAAACCATTGGTTAGTTATTAAAACGTTTTTAATTAATTTTTTTCAGTATTTTACATGTTTTATTTACAATAGAGTTACATGACTAAAAACCATTGCGCGCCTACTGAACGTGATGGCGCAGCCATGGAACGCGATGGCGCAGCTATTGAACGTGATGACGCGTGTGGTGTGGTTGGAAAAAATGCCTACTAATTCAGTCCAAATTTTAATTAATTCAAAATTTTTTTTGTGACCGAACGAAAGGATATTTTTGAAAACTTTCTTCGGCAATATTGTTCTAAATTATGGCAGGAATCGATTGGTACATGTTTCAAGTCGCTTAGTGGTCTGGTTGCCGAGATATGGGCCAAAAACTGCATTTTTTTTAGTTTTTTTTGGCTTTTCTGGGAAATCCATGAAAGAAACCCGTAATTTTTATGGCCTATGTTCATCCTCGTAACTTGCTTAACATAATTGCTTTTGGAACTAGTCATCGATATTGCTTCCTTGAGGAGGAGATACGACTTAAAGCCCGGACACACATTCATCCATACATTCATACATTCATCCATTCATTCATCCATCCATTCCCAGAAATGACGAGTTAATAAACGCAATTCTCCAGAATGGAAATTGCGCTAAAAAGCTAGGCTTCACTTAACTTTATTATTTACAATGCTCTTTTAGTTTTATCAATAATTATACCTACACTTTGGTGGATTTTAGTTTGTAAAACCCTTAATGATAGGGTTCTATTTTACTTATTTAAAGTTGATTTATATAAGTTATATAACAATGCTTACTAAGTGTTTTTTGTAAATGTGTCATTTGACATTGTAGTTGTCTCATGATGCATTGAAACAAAAGTTAACCACTCTATTTACGTGTTCTACCATAAGATTTTAACATTTACAGACCTTAATGTAAATGGTCCTTTATACAAAATTAATTTCCATCAATAAAAAAAAACAGGAAAAATGTATTGAATGAATTCATAAGATGATGACTAAATAAACCCCACACATCAATTGTCTGCCATATTTTTTAATGCTGGACAAACTACAGCAGACAATATATTTTGTGTGCTTTATCTGAACTCTATGTACAGTAAAGATGTAAATAATTAACTACAGATAAGTATCAAAGACAAGTCTCAGATGATTTACACCTCTTTTTACTTAGCACAAGTACGATGCTAAAATATATTGAAATTTTTAAATATTTTAATAAATATGCGTTGATATGTTCTACCACATTTCAACACTTTATTAAGTGGTTAATTAAATGTCAATAGTCAGTAGCTAAGTGACAAACTTAACCTTAAGTGGCTATAAGTGCCACTCGGCAATATTGCCGCTTACTCCAAATTAACTAGACAGAGTAGAATTGACAATCTTTAATTGTATTGTTTAAGGGTGATGCTGTCCATAATATGTGCTCAAATATAGGTAGATCACATCAGTTTTATTTAGGCAGAAACAAATTTTGTGGATAGGTCTGGTTGCATGCAGCTCATGTGATCACCATGTCGCAGGGACGGCACTAAGCTGATTAGTTCTTTGTACAGAGTAATGAGCTCAGCTTCAATACACACACATGGTTATAGTATGACAAGCACACATACAGACCAGACAACAATGCTACATTGAATAATATTCTGCTCACCACTATAAGTGTTTTAGATTCTGTTTTGAGGTGATGTAGGGTTACTTTGCCAAAATGGTGAACTAACATCAATTCTTGATGAATATTGAAAGAACCTTTATATTTAAAGATCACAATTTTATTTTTAAAAATTTACCCACTAAATTAAAATTAATAAAGTAAATTATAGGCTTATTAACACGTTTTTCTTAACTCAGCTTCGCGTTTGTGGATGTGTGGATTTGTTTGTTGTTAAAATTGACATCGAAAATTAGCCCACTTCTGATTGTTCTATAGTTCTGAAATTTGGCATGCAGGCTACTTTCGCCTAACAATTTCAGATGCAATCATAAAAACTAGCAATTAGAGACCGTAATTAGCTTAATTTAATTACGCCCTAAGGACCATAAAATTGAGGACATGATTTCTAAAGATACCGATAAGACTGGAAGCCTATTGACACAGTTACTTCGGCCCCAATCGATGTGAGCGCGCTGGCCGTGATCGTATAGTGGTTAGTACTTCGCGTTGTGGCCGCGACAACCCAGGTTCGAATCCTGGTCGCTCAAGATTTTTTTAGTCCGTGTATTTATAAACACTTAGTCAAGTCATACTTAACCAAGTCATTAGATAAAGTAGAAAATAAACTATATAAAAAACTTTTTTAAAAACCATGTTTTTCATGTGTAGCAACGGACTAAAAAGGAGAAAATAAAATACTTAAAAAAAACTTTTTAAAAAACCACGTTTTTCTTGTGGACTAAAAAGTAGAAAATAACTATTTACATACATTTGATGACAAAAAACGTGGGTCGGGCAGATGGGTCGGGAAATTTGATGGTGAACGTACCCACGTTTTTTGTCATCAAATGTATGTAAATAGTTATTTTCTACTTTTTAGTCCACAAGAAAAACGTGGTTTTTTAAAAAGTTTTTTTTAAGTATTTTATTTTTATTGGAGTCTTTAGTTTAATTTTGTTATTTTATATGAATAAGATTTTAAACACTGGTTTTATTAAAGTATGAATTTAATTTTATTTTTCTATATTCTTACTTTATATACTATTCTAATGTAAAAGATTTTAAAACTGCATTTAAAAAAAAAGATTTAGAATAGACATGACAAGGTTTTTGAATAAAGGTATGTGGTCATCAAGCTTAGGAGTGTTGTGAGACCCTTATCCAATATCCAGGTCCATGTGTATCTATATAATTGTCTAGCTTGATCCATAAAAACAAAGCCTATTAATTTCCTGCCACTATGCCCCTCCCACCATCCATTCTCTGCTACATATTGAGGTACCACAGTTGTGTTATCTGCTTAAGGGGAGATAAGAACAGGCATTGTTCCTACTCTGGGTGAAAGGTTCACACTGTGACCTGGGAATTTTTCTCCTCCTTACACACTGGACTGTGCTCTTGTTTGTTTAGCTCACGTGTGCCCCAAACACAGTGTAAAGTTTTATAAAGTAGAGGCAACTTCTTTTCTGGTCAACAATTTAGATCACACTACACATACGTTTAGTTTTTTTGTGGACATTAATTTTAATTTATTTATATTTTTTATGTAATTTTAATGTAATATATAATTATATTTTTCATTTTAAAATTATTAATAATTTTGAATTTTTTTTTTCAGTTTTATTTTCTGATTTCTTGTGTTTGTGTAATGTCACATTAGCGGCTCCAAAATGTCACTCATTGATGGTATGTAGTTCATTTTTTGTGTCTGATATGTTTTAGAATATGACTAGGATTAGACATTCTATGTTATTTGAGAAATTTTGGGCTTAGTTTGTACCATCTTCATAATTGTGATTTTAAATCATTAACAAAAATGTTACAATTCTTCATGTACTGCTAAATTTGAAAAAAAAAAAAAATTGTTAATTCTTTCTGAAATCTTTTGCTTGGTCTGATAAAAAAATGTACTTTATTTTCTGCAACATTCCGAACATGTTGGTAATTTTTGTTTATTTTGGTTATTTTTTATCTGCTTTTAGAGAGTCATACAGCAGCAGATTGTTTGGAATATTTGCAACAGAAGTTGTGGGCAAGAGGAGACCACTCCCAAGATGATGACCTCAATTCTATTATTGTCATGTTGGAGAGTCCACTCTTCCGCCAGTTGCTTACTCTACAGGTAAATAACTTGGTTAAATAAGGGATAGGGTAGTGGATTACTCTACGGGTAAAAGAGGGATGGGGGCGTTGGATTACTCTACAGGTAAATAAGGGATGGGGGAGGTGGATTACTCTACAGGTATTTAAGTTGTGGGAGGAGGGAGTAGGTTGGTTGGGACAGTAGTTGTGATGTTTAGATTATTCAGGGTAATCCTGTGGTGGCTTTAGTATTTTCTAAATGACAGTGCACTGAAATCATTTGATTACTTCCCTTGTTGTATTGTAGACAACTGTCAGTATAGGTAGTGATAACTCAAAAATAGAGTGGAATAAAAAAAATGGCTGCCTAATAGGAAAGCTTCCACAATAAATACTGTATTAATTTTAGAGATCAAATGAACACTAACAAAAGATATTGTTGGTTAATGTCTTTGTTTTTTTAACTCCCTCCCCCCCCCCCCCCCCCCTTTAAGTCTGTTCATACAAATGAAAATTATGCATCAAAGAAATCATCAGCTTTTTTTTAATGCTCATCTGTTTTTCACCTGATTTTACCTTTTGAAATACTAAACATATATAGAAGTAATATATTTATAGCCAAAAATGTATGTCTATATGTGTTTATTTTTCCTCAACATATCAAGATTATGTAATATTTTGTTTCTAACAGATTATTTACATCACTTTTTCTGGCCACTCATGTAGTTATTTGTTTACATTTTATAAAAAAATTTGTCCCCAGGAGTCCCTGGCAGAACTAAGAAGAGTTTCATTTGTCCTTCCCCTGAGTGAAGAATCATTTGACATCACACAGGGGGGTGAGCTAATTCTGAATGAGTCACCGGATGCTTTCACACCTGAAAATGTAGCAGACAGTTCAACATTAAAGGTCAGAGGAAAGCCCTTCATTAACGCAGGTACATTGCTTTACTTCATTAAATCTTGTATTTTTAAAGGGAGACTTTTTGAAAAAGTTACAATTGTGTTATGAATTTAGAAATTCTGTTTATGGTTTACACATTTCATATATTTAAAAAATTGGAGATAGGATAAAGGCCAAAAAAAATAGACATATTTAATAGATATTTGGAATATAATTTTCAAAAAGATTTCAACAATAATCTGAACTGAAAATATTTATCCTTAATATACTACATAGTAAAACTTTTTATTCATTTCAACCATAGATGATTTGGGGCTATCATTTTTTAAAACCATTCTTCATTTGATTTTTAAAAAATATTAAGCAACTTTGTTCATCATTGCTTTTAATATTTTACCATTTTCATTGTGACACTGTTTTAGCCAGTTTAACATCATCTTTTCTCATTTGTGCTCAAGACACATGGGGTAGATGAAGTAGAGTTTATCTGTTTCAATGACTTCTGCATACCCTGAAACAGTTTTGTCAGCACTATGCTCATCCGCCTTAGTTAAGATAACATGAGTTACCTGACAATGTTAAGCCTGAGATTCAAACTGGAGACTACTGAGTTAGCCCTTATAATTCCCAACATTTGACCATGCGTGCCATAACCAATAAACCTTTGACCATGTTGTGTCCCACAGCTCCACCGGTCTCATCCTTTGGCTACCCCGCCCATGTTGAAGACAGCATCATGCGGCTGGCCTCAGGCAGGGCTGTCTACGTCATCCAGCTCTACAAACCTGAGAACCAGTCCCTGGGATTTTCTGTCATGGGGATTAAAAAGAAAGAAACAGATGAGCTGGGCATCTTTGTTAAGGAGATACAGCCCACAGGCCTAGCAGCACAGTAAGTACTTGTTTCATACTTGTCACTGTGGGAACGACCTGTTTCATGGTAAATTGCCTGTTTCATTTTAAATTGCCTTTTTTATTCAATGGTAAACCTCCTGTATCTTGTGGTAAAATACCTTTTCATCCATTTTGGCAAATTGATTTAAATTTTAAAAATAATTATATCACAAAGCTATTAAAGCGTATGTTTTCTTTTTGCTGTAAAAATGTATTTGGGGTATTCACATATTACTGACTTCTTCACTCAGTGCTAAAATGAAAAAAAATCTGAATACATAACATTATAAGTCATGGTATGGCAATACCAGAGTACTGCTTTAAAAGTTTAAGTTAAACATGTATTGACAGATGTTAGTCTAGATTGTGTGTGACTGTCTGTCACATACTACATTAGTGTAGTTGCCTATTACCATTCATAGCTAACCTGGTGCAGCTTGGTTCTAGATAACTCATATTTGATTACATAAATGAATATTCCAGAGTTAGTTCCCCTTATATTTTTAACAATAATTATTATTAATAACTCAATTTAATAGATTTTTATGTATAATTTCTTTTTCTGAAAATGTGCATGAAATCTATTATCTATGGTTTATTTTATTTTACATTCCTCATTTCTGTTTACCTTGTTTTAAATCAATTTTCTGTGCTTCATTTGTTAAGTTATTCACTTAACTGGGCATTTTCGTTTTAATTAACACTTTAAAGTTAAGCAGTTAAAACTGCCAAGTTGTTTTAAATTCTTTAAAATTAACCCGCTTCTTAGTTGTACTTTACGGTACTTGCCTACTACCTCCATTATTTTCTTCTTACAACCCTTGACCTCAAACCAGATGATCTAAACCAGGGGTCTCCAAACTTTTCAGACCGAGGGCCGCATTGACTATCAAATATAAGTTCGGGGGCCAGAGTTTCTTCAAGGCATATCCTCGGTGTTATGGAGCCCCCCCCCCCCCCCCTCGAAAAACATCCACCGACCCGCCCCCCCCCCCCCCAATAAAATATAATTTATATAGAAATGTATACACATTTCAAGTGCCCCCCCCCCCCCCCCCCCCAAGAGAAAAAGTCTGAAAGAAACACTGTCGGTGGCCGACAACACACTCGAGGTCCAAGTTTGCTCTCAAATTATTCTTCACGTATTCTATATCTATGGTTGAGCCCATGTGACCATATTAAATTCGCCATCTTCACCACAGGATTCAATACACTGCTACTGTCCATATATTTAGCAGTCAAAGCTTGCTGATGAATAATAGAGTGCAAGAGCAATGGTTGTAGAAAATTTTCTCATTCGCTTGTCCAACCAAGCCTTTCTTTATGCCAATCATGTACTTTTCCCCATCAACAGTCAGGTAACTGAGGTTAGTCCAGTCCAAGTTATAATCAGCAAATGTTTTCTTTAACTCATTGAATATATCGTCTCCGGTACCAGTGCCATACATATTATGTAGGGAAGCCAGCTCTTATGTTATGTTCATGTCTTCATCCACACCCCTTATGAGCATAAGCAGTTGAGATGTGGAACAGCTGTCCGGCGACTCATCCATTGCAATTAAAAAATTGTGAAACGTGCTTGCATTTTTCGCTATTTGAGTCATGATGTTTTCACCAATGTCTGCAACACGGTGGGCAAAGGTATTTGCACCCAAAGCAACATTTTAAAATTGTTTTGAATTTTCTGGGCACAGTTCCTCAGCCACCTCTAACAGACATTTTTTCCCGTGGACAAAAAGATCTCCGCGGGCCGGATGAGAGGACCTTGCGGGCCGCATCCGGCCCGCGGGCCGTAGTTTGGAGACCCCTGATCTAAACGATGGTCTACTGGAGCACTTAAGTAAATTAAATGAGGCCGGGGTGCTTGTAATAAAGTCAATTTATTTTTTCAATTACACTTTGTTGTTACCTTGAATATTCCATCACAGCTTGGAGAAAATATTTCTTTTATTGCAATCCGCTGAACTCATTAATTTTTACACCACTTTAACGCAGACTTTTATTGTTGTTTTATTGCTGAAGATTTCTGCCTAGTTCCCTGGACCAGACAGTGATGTTTTTATCATGGTTTGGGTAATGGAGTTTTACAAAATTTATAGGGTAGGAAACAGCTGGTGGCTTAGCTTCTGATGTAGTTTGTTAATTTCAATTTGAATATTTTTCCCTAACTGTTCAAATGATTATTGTTGAACATGATTACTGTTGACCTAAGGACTTGTAGGGTAGGGTTGTTTTTTTTATCTAGATTCTAGATACAACTGAAACTTGTGTAGAAATTTTTAAAGCTATGACATCCGTGGAGGAGAAAATCGTCTTTTTTGTTAACAAATTTGAACTTAATGCAGTTTGTGTTTACATTATAAGTTATAAAGTTATAAAGATGTCATTCCTGTACTGTTATTGTTGTGTTAAGTGCCCCTCACCCTGCCACCAATACAAAATATTCTATTTTGTAAAAGATTTTCATATTTTTCTGCTTAGCATTTTAACGAGGTATTTACTTTCATTTACACAAATCTGAGCCTCAACAGCTCTGAGTTTTATATAGCAGGTGTTAACATTACCAAATCTTCAACTGGATTAACTTTATCCCACATGATCCGCTTTTGGTTGAGTTTTTAAACTGGATTATCTTAATCCTGTATTTGCTACTTTTAAATCACTTGATACATTCAAGTCCTCCTGTGTATTTGAAATGGTAGTCTGTTTACTTGCATTCTCTAGAACTATCTGAATTCAGTGTTTCTTCCAGACTTTTTTACTTGATATTTGGGGGAGGGGGTGGACTATATAAATTTTGTTTGAAGAGATGCCTGTAGAAACTATCTGAACTGTGTGATTCACTTAAGTTTTGTTCATTGGATCCAGAGTATTCTATTGGCATATGTGTTGATTTGATGCTCCACGGACTTTTAGACGGCTTTGTACCTTACATAAAATCTTGAGCAATGCTAACTCTCTTTAATTGGATGTCTTAGACCATGATTTACCCTCGGCTCTTACAAATCTCACTACTTTGGTAGCTGTCGGTTCAGCCATTGGGTAGGGCAATTATGTCTACTTGTTTGGTTGGTCAGTTCAACTTGTACCACGTGTTTTGGTTGGTCAAATTAAGCTGTATGACGTGCTAACCCATGCACTACTTCAAGGCTTTACACGTCATTTTGTTATAACACCCGGGGTGTGTTGTGTGTGTGGTTGGGGGGGGGGGGGTAATGGGTGGGGAGGGGGTCAGGTATTGAGACCAAAATGAGCCCGTTTGTGTCTGGGATTGTGAGCTTGTCATGTCCAGATAGAGGGACGTGACAGGATGACATAGCTTGGCCATTACGGTTAGTATTGTGGGTTGGTTCAAGAAAGTGGAGGGGGGGGGGTGTGGGGGATTCGTGATTTGCTGGGGATTGGGGGCTTCGTGACTTATACGGGCTGGGGATTGGGGGCTTCGTGACTTATACGGGCTGTGGATTGGGGCTTCGTGACTTGCTAGGGCTGGGGATTGGGGGCTTCGTGACTTGCTGGGGATTGGGGGCTTCGTGACTTATACGGGCTGGGGATTGGGGCTTCGTGACTTGCTGGGGATTGGGGGCTTCGTGACTTATACGGGCTGGGGATTGGGGGCTTCATGACTTAAGGATTGGGGATTAGGGGCCTCATGACTTTCTAGGGCTGGAGATTAGATCTTCATAGTATTTAAGTGTTGGAGATACTGATGACGTAGGTCCAGGGGGAAAAAGGTTCGCCACTTATAAGTGCTTAGGAATTGGTGGCAAAAGTGCTAGTGGATTAGGTGTTCGTTGCTAGGGGATTGCTGGGAGTGGGCTTTCTCTAATAAGTGGTCAGTGGGATTTGGTATTTACCGTAAGGATTTTTAAATATCACTTCTAAGATTCCATTGTTCCCACAAAATCTAACTTTCCCTAGCTCCCCCACACCATTCCCTAGCTCCCCCACACCATTCCCTAGCTCCCCCACACCATTCCCTACCTCTCCAACATAATTCCCTAGCTCCCCCACACCATTCCCTAGCTCCCCCAAATAATTCCCTAGCTCCCCACATCATTCCCTAGCTCCCCCACACAATACTCTAGCTCCCCCACACCATTCCCTAGCTCCCCCACACCATTCCCTAGCTCCCCCACACCAATCCCTAGCTCCCCTACACCATTCCCTATCTCCTCACATCATTCCCTAGCTCCCCCACACCATTCCCTAGCTCCCCACACACCCGCCGAGGTTGACTGCACGGCCCCCACACTTATCAATCAGCGTGTGTGGGCTAATTCCCCGGACAGAATCGATGAGTACATGCTTTGATCGCTCCTTTTGAGTGATGACCCTAAGGAGGAAGGGGGGAGGGTGAGGCCGGGCTTAGAGAAGAGAAAAAGATTATGTGAAGAAAAAAAAATCATTACTTTCTGGCTTGGGATTATTAAACTTCTTTAATAAGATCAAAGCCTAGCTGGAAGGTGCGTGAGTTAATTATTGGCGGCCAGCATTTTTCTATTGATCTTAGATTCCGACTTGTAGTTGTATTAGCTATGCGGGGTTTGTTTTGATAGCGTTTGAAACGAAAAACGTAAAGTTTCAAAGAGAGCAGGTTAATCAGTGGCTTGGAATTGGTTGGTTTGAGTTTCTCAAGATTGGTTTGGGTCGGATAATGTAGACGAGAATGGAAATTTAGTAAATCTAATTATACGGATGGAAAAAAAAACATTTTATGGTGGGTCTAATTATTTGGATTCCCCACAAATGTATGTAATTTGGAGGGATTCTCACATTGGGAATTTCGGCTGTAGTTTGATTTGGCAGCCTTGCACGCCCAGATAGAAAAATAATGAAGCAACTAACCCGTTTGGGAACGTGATTAAATCTGTGGGTTGAGGTGGGGGGGGGGCATTATCAAATCTATTTTTAATGACTTACTTCTGGTGCGTTTTCGATTTTTGTTCAACGGGAAATACGAGGGTCTAAACACAAATAAATAGTTCTAGATCTAAA